AGGACAGGAGGACATGTATGAGGACAGGAGGACATGTATGAGGACAGCAGGACAGTGGTGAGATGTGCTGTATGAGTGACAGTTTCAAGGTGGAGGTGGGCGTTCATCAAGGATCTGCTCTGAGCCCCTTCTTGTTTGCTCTGGTGATGGACCGACTAACAGATGAGGTCAGGCAGGAATCCTCGTGGACGATGATGTTTGCAGATGACGTTGTGATCTGTGGTGAGAACAGGGAACAGGTGGAAGAGAACTTGGAGAGGTGGAGGTATGCACTTGAAAGAAGAGAAATGAAAGTCAGTCGTAGTAAGACAGAGTCCATGTGTGAATGAGAGGGAGGAGGTGGAACAGTGAGGCTACAAGGAGCAGAGGTCACAAAGGTGCAGGACTTCAAGGACTTGGGATCCACTGTCCAGGAACATGGGGAGTGTGGTGAAGAGGAGAAGAAGAGAGTCCAGGCAGGATGGAGTGATGGAGAAAAGTTTCAGGAGTGATTTGAGACAAAAGAGTGTCAGCAAAGGTCAGAATCAGAATCAGAATGACTTTATTGTCATTATACGCAGTACAATGAAATTAAGAGCCACTCCTTTTTCCAGTGCAAAAACACGCCTTAAGAAAACACACATTAAACATTAAACACACTAAAAACATAAAAAATGTAACGCAATATAGATATAATAATGAAAGTAAAAAATACAAGTATTACACAATTGTATTGCACATCATGGATATTAGTGAGGTAGTTGAGGTGACTGAGGGTATGAAATGTCAGTAGTGTTGCACAGTAGAAGTCCAGGGGTTTGGGAGGTTAGATGATTAAATCAGTGCATGTGTGAGTTCAGTGTGGTGAACAAAGGAAAAGTGTACAAGACAGTGGTGAGACCAGCTCTGTTGTATGGTCTGGAGACAGAGACATGGACAAAAAGACAGGAGACAGAACTGGAAGTGTCAGAAATGAAGATGTTGAGGTTCTTCTTAGGAGAGACAAGGATGGAGAAGATCAGGAATGAGATCATCAGAGGTACAGCACAGGTTGAACAACTGGGAGATAAAGTTAGAGAGGACACACTGAGATGGTTTGGACATGTCC